TTTAATAAACAGATATAAAAATACTTTTTGATCCATTTTAAAGTTCAGATGTTTTTTTTTTTTTACTTTTTTAAAGTTAAAACTTTATTTTCAAGATTAAACAAATTTATTAGTTTTTTTCACTTTTATTTCTGAATATTTTAATCTAGATGTCCCGGTGGAGCAGCGGGTAGAGCTGCTGCCTCACAGCATGAGGCTCGCAGGTTCTCCTGAGTTTACATGTTCTCCCTGTGCAGATGTGGGTTTTCTCCAAAAACATGCACGTTGTGTTGACTGAGATGAGAGTGGTTACATCGTTTGTCTCTGTGTGTCTTTGGACGTCTTGGTGCTGGGACAGAGTTTCAGGAGTGAGCTTGAAACCTGGACCTGGACCTGGACCTGGACCTGCCCGGCTCAGAGGGACCATCTGAAGCTTGTTGGATGTAAAACCTGCAGGACAGAAGCAGCTGCAGCGTCTTTAATCTGTCCTCTGGGAGGACGGTGGGATTACATGTGAGCAGAGATGGAGGGGACGTTAATCTGGCGTTCATCTCTGCAGCACAGAGCCGCCATGTTGGCCTGGTTTCTGCTCCAGGCGGCTCGTTGGTCTGGTAGTCTGACCTCAGGTGGTCCTGCTGGTCCTCTGACGGGTCACAGTTTGGACCGGTGCTGAAAACCCACAGAACCAGTGTTATTTTAGTGACAGGGTCTCAGGAGGAGACCCCGAGCCTGCTCCTTCTGTGTGAAAAGCCTGAGTTTGACGTCTCAGCGGGACATTTTAGTACCTGTCTTTGTCTCCGTCCTGGGAGCAGTCGGGACGCTGCAGCTGAGATTAAAAGCCTCAAACACATTTTTTTTTAAAATTTCCCTTCAGGAAGCGACAGGATTTCAGCTCCGGTGAAACACGTGAACTCATTCTGTCACTTTCCTCTCTGCTCTTTGTCTTCATCTTTTTCTAATCAGCTTCATGAAAGATTCACGTTTTTACAAATCATTTCAGGTCCTCTGAACGTCCCAAACTCTTAACATTTAACACAGAACGAACTAAAACAAAATCAGATCAAATAAACCAGGACTTCCTGTCAGACCTCAGAGTCTGTGTTGGGCAGAACTCTCAGCTACTACCACACTAAACTTCAGCTCAGTTCCTCAAAGTTTAATGAATAAAAGACATTTTTTATAAAATCAGTTGGCTGAGGCGGCCATCTTAACGTGAACTGACTTCATTTAATTCTTTGCAGTTGTTTAGGAGATATTTTGCTAAAAGACAATTAATGAAAACATTGTTCACATCATGATTTTGGCAACGAGTCATAATGATTTTACTGCATGGTGCTCTTCTTCTTCTTCTTCTTCTTCTTCTTCTTCTTCTTCTTCTTCTTCTTCTTCTTCTTCTGCAGGTCTACGCCATCCTGGTCAGTCATCCCCCGCAGTCCAATGACCACCTGACCCCCACACCCGTCTCCTACACGGCCGGGTTCTACAGGATTCCTGTGGTCGGCCTGACAACGCGCATGTCCATCTACTCGGACAAGGTCAGCCGGACCCTCGGGTCTGTACTGCTCGGAGGCAGTTTGGTGTTCATCAGGGCTCGGTCCTCGGTTCTCGTTTCCTTCTTTGGTGTTTCGGTTTCAAAACAAAATTGCCAAAAGAAAACAAATGTGTTAATTTTTGTTGTTGTTGTTTTTTTCTTTTCTAAATGTAAAATCAAACTAATTAAAAATCCAGTGTTTGATTTTTGCTTCAGTATCTAAATCTGAAAAAAAAGTGGTTGTTTCAACATATAGTGATAGTGGAAATGAAGAAAGTTGTCAAAGAAGAAGAGTTTAGAGTGGCTGAAAGAACTTTTATAAAAACAAAACACTCCTAAAGATCTTGGCAGTGGCTGCTCTCAGACCTGACTCTGCACAACTTGGAAAATTAAAACCATCACTGACCCCTTTAAATCAAACAGGACCCTGGTGAGAAGTGAAAACAACGTGCCATGATTCTCAGTTCTACCAGGAGGTCTAAAAGCTTGTTTTTACTTTAATCATTAAAATACGGTGGCCCAGGCGTGTCATGTCAAATTCAAAAGACACAACACAAATACAAAAGTTGTAACACAAATACAAAAGTTGTAACACAAATGCAAAAGTCGCAACACAAATGCAAAAGTCGCAACACAAATACAAAAGNCAAAAGTCGCAACACAAATGCAAAAGTCGCAACACAAATACAAAAGCCGCAACACAAATACAAAAGCCGCAACACAAATACAAAAGTCGTAACACAAATACAAAAGCCACAACACAAATGCAAAAGCCGCAACACAAATATAAAAGTCACAACACAAATACAAAAAACCGCAACACAAATACAAAATTTGCAACACAAAAACAAAAGCTGCAACACAAATACAAAAGCTGCAACACAAATACAAAAGCTGCAACAATAATACAAAAGCCGCAACACAAATACAAGAGTTGCAACACAAATACAAAAGCCGCAAAACAAATACAAAAGCCGCAAAACAAATACAAAAGCCGCAACACAAATACAAAAGCCGCAACACAAATACAAAAGTCATAACACAAATACAAAAGCCACAACACAAATGCAAAAGCCGCAACACAAATATAAAAGTCGCAACACAAATACAAAAGCCACAACACAAATACAAAAGCTGCAACACAAATACAAAGCTGCAACACAAATACAAAAGCCGCAACACAAATACAAAGCCGCAACACAAATACAAACGCCGCAACACAAATACAAACGCCGCAACACAAATACAAAAGCCGCAGGACGTGACACTTCTGGGCCACCATACTAAAATGAAAAAAAAATGAAGCATTTTTTTAAATTGTCATTCTTTTTATTTTGTTTTAAAACAGGAAAACTGAAAAATTCCACCTCATTATTTTTTCTCATTTTATTTTGAAACTGAAAAACCAAAGAACGAACCTTACACAGAGATGTTTTTACCAATGTTTCATTTTTTTATCACCCGTCAGTTTTATTTAGCACTTTTAGCATTTTTTTAGCACCAAAAGTTTACTGTCCGAATATTTGTAGCTAGTAAAAACATTTAGTGAAAACATGAGCAGAACCTGCAGAAAACTGGATTTCATTTGAAGTTTGACAGAATTTCATTTTGAAAAAGTTGTTTTCTTTTTAGTTTTTCTGCAAAGCCGAATTCTGTTTTATGCCGATGATGACTCGATGTTTTAGAACAACGTGAACACTGAGTCAGCATTTCTTCTGTAGGCTTTTGTTTTACTGTGACTCTTTTGACACACGTCCCGCTTCAATTAAATGGTCCAGTCAGAGTCCAGAACCCGACTGAAACCCTGTGGTGGGACCTCCAGAGAGCTGAGGGGAAACCAGGAAGAGTGCTCCAAAATCCCTCTAAAACCATGAGACTGCTAAAGGCCTACAGGAGGCTTCTAAATCTGCTGGGACCAGTTTTGAGACGGTGGACTCCGTTTGACTTCGTGTCAGATCTGAACCGTTTCAGAACCTGATAGATCAGTTTTATCAGGTCCTGATATGTGAAACCTGAGACCTGAAAGAGGTTTTTCTTCCTCCTGGACTCAGAATGTTCTCCGTGTCGCCTGCAGCCTGAACAGGAAACCTCTCTGAGCCTCTCAGGTTTACAATATTGATGAAAACATTTGGAGCGTCTTCGTCCCAGAATATCCCAGCTCCTCCAGTCAACAACGCTCCAGTTCTCCTCCAGTTTGCTCCGAAGGAATAAAATATTCACATTTTGGCTCTCGTGTGAAGTCATCGTGCGTTTGATCATCTCAGATATATTTAACTCCTCCCATCAAACTTCAGACTCACCTTCTAGTTTCAGCCAATCCCAGCCCCCCCCCCCCACCCACTGAGGGGACGTCTGGTCCGATCAGCTGGTGCTGACTTCCTCCTCCTCCTCTCCCTCAGAGCATCCACCTGTCCTTCCTGAGGACGGTCCCGCCGTACTCCCACCAGGCCCAGGTGTGGTTCGACCTGATGAGGGAGTTCAGGTGGAACCACATCATCCTGATCGTCAGCGACGACCACGAGGGCCGAGCCGCCCAGAAGAGGCTGGAGACACTGCTGGAGGAGCGCGAGACCAAGGTGGGCTCACGCACAGACCCACTGTCACATGTTAGCGAACACGTTAACCATCCATGTTGGGCTGCACGTACAGCGGGTTGCAAAAGTATTCAGCCCTCCCTCTGGTTGGTTGACTCATGATCTGGAATTTAGTTTTTCATTTGATAAGAACTGATGGTCCTACACAATAAAACTCAACATAATGACGGCTACTAAAGGAAAGACTTAATTTAAATCATTCTAAAAACATATTAAACAGAAAAATGGTGAGTGCGTATGTATTCACCCCCCTTAGATTTGGAACCAATATCTTCAGGAGCCACAGAGTTGGTTCAACAAGATCCACATGTGGAAAGTTTTAGGTCTTATCCAAACTATTTTATCAAAAATATTTATTTATTTAAAATGGGAACACATTGTGGTCGTCCTAGAAGAGGTGGAACAAGAGAAAGATGATGGATTGATTGATGATCTGTTGGATGGATGGACAGATGGATGAATGGATGGTTGGATGGATGGATGTATGGATGGTTGGATGGATGGTTGGCTGTATGGATGGATGGTTGGATGGATGGATGGACAAATGGATGGATGTTTGGATGCATGGATGGATGGATGGTTGGTTGGATGTATGTATGGTTGGTTGGTTGGTTGGTTGGGTGGGTGGTTGGACAGATGGATGGATGGATGTAAGGTTGGATGGATGGTTGGATGTACGGATGATGTATGGATGGTTGGTTGGTTGGACAGCTAGATGGTTGGATGTATGGATGGATGTATGGATGGTTGGTTGGTTGGACAGCTGGATGGATGGATGGATGGATGGATGGATGGATGGATGGAGGATGGTTGGTTGGATGGATGATGGATAGATGGTTAGTTGGATGGATGGATGTATGGTTGGATGTATGGATGAATGGATGGACAGATGGTTGGATGTATGTATGTATGTATGTATGTATGTATGTATGTATGTATGGATGGATGGATGGATGGATGGATGGATGGATGGATGTATGTATGTATGTATGGATGGATGGATGGATGGATGGATGGATGGATGGATGGATGGAC